GTCTACACTGCCTTAACACTATGGTGGCAAAATTGAGTTTTCAGTTGGCCCTCAAAGCCAGAAATGTTTACTATCTGGCCTTTTACTGACCCCTGGGCAAGAGCAACACTTTTTAAAAATGAAATAGAAAAGAATAGAGAATACCAGAGTGCATCATGTGTGGGGAGGATAACTTGTGGTTTCACAGAACATCTGTGTCAACAAAATGTATGCATGTTGGGTATGTGTGCGCAACCTGGCTCCCAGTGATAGTGTTCTTTACCGTGAATAACAGGCAAAAACTATTAATTTTCTTCCAACGACTCTAGAAGCAAATTAGAACCTGCCTATGTCTTACATTTACAACTCAAGGAGGTCTATGGTACTATTACCTAAGGTAGCCAGATGGTGAGCAAAAAAGAGACAAAGACGGATTAACAAATTCAGATATTCTACCAACTATGGGCTCATAAAGCATCTCATTGAAGATTCTTTTCCAACAGGAGAGAGATGAAATATGCCGAAAAGGCAGTATCAGTGATCTACCGAATATGCTCCCGTACACTTAGAGGGTTTATCAAAGACTACTTACATTGAATCAAGCAGAGTAAAGTATTACTATTGGTTTAACCTCGAAAAGGGCTTCATTCCAGAAGTAACTTTCCATTCAGCCATCTAGCACATGGTCGTCAGATCCAGAAACATTTGGAGTAAGGAGGTGCAAGTGGCCTGAGTAAAACTATCCCAGAAATAATTAAAATAACTAGACAACAGTAATAATTGTAACTAAAATAATAATACTTATTTAACATCTATCATCAGGATTGTGCTAAGCCCATTCATTTCACTCTGTCCTCAAAACAGTCCCGTTCCATAGGAATAATTATCACCCTCATTCTCCAGGTAAAGATACTGAGGCACAGAGAGGCTGAATAACTTGCCAAAGGTCACCCAGGGAGTAAGAACAGGACATGGGATTTAAATTTTAAACATACAGCTGGAGATGCTGTAAGGTATAGAAGTAGTCAACCCTTGTTCAAACCTGCCCTTTTGTTCATTTCACTGATATCTCTTACCACTTATGTGTTCCTGCTGAAAAAAGACTGAACCAATTGCATGACAAAGCCAGAGAATATAGATTTTATTATGGAAACTGTTTTATGGAGATAATGCTACAACAATCAAAATAATAAACATCTCCCAATAACACATGTACAACCTAATATTGAAGGAAATGCACCTGTACCCGGTATTGAATTGTCCTCAAATTTGAATTATAGAGGCATAGCTCAAATTATCCCCTTTGCCTAGTGCCCAGCCCAAAAGACATATTTTTTTTAATAAACACTTTGTGCTACCTCGCCTCCTCATGCCGCATGCTGCCACGTGAAAGCTATAGCCCTCCTAACGTGATTCATCAGAAAAATCAAGAGGGAAAATAGTCATGATCTGATATACTGAGCACTCTTAAATTACACAGCAGCCACTTCCCGTGTAGTGCAGGGGAAGACAGAAATGCAGTGACTAAGTACATCGCAGCCTGTCACGTCTGTGAACTGGGGAGCGGGGAAGGTCACTGAATCATGTTCCAGCACCTCTGCACGTCCATCGAGACATGAGGTAGCCAAGCCAGCTTGCCCGAGATGAAAGTCTGAGTAATTCAGAGGAGGCTGTAATTCTTTATAAAACATACACTAAGTAGTTTTGTTGACGCCTACATGACATTTCCAAGGTGGTTGGGAAACCAGACCATTTGTTACACAGAACCTAGATCAATACAGTGTTTGGAGGAAGATGAGCAACGTTTGAAAAAAAATTTAATTGAACAAGGGTTCAGTACCTTACAGCATCTCCAGTTGTATGTTTAAAATTCAAGATTGAGAAGAAATTTTTTTTAACTGCAGCAACATAACCCAGCACCTGAGTCCATTTCTCTTCTTAGATAGCATTTAAGGAAGAAAAGACTTTTTGTTTCATTAGACAAACAAAAATTCAATATGGAAATGGTCAACTGTTTTTATTCCTTCTCTTTTTCTTTTTTCCCTTTTTTTTTTTTTTTAGTGGCTGTTGGCAGCATCACTCTGACAGGAGTCTGAAAAATTAACACATCACTAGGACTTACCATGTGAGATTTAACTTTTGATAAACAACAAAGTGGGTTACTGCTGTGCTAGCTATTTTTAATCCACCTTGTGAGTGTGCTTTTTTTATTGCTTTATACAGCATATCTGATTCCCTCTAAAGCACCAACTAAAAAATCTATCCAGCTGTCATTTGCTGCCCGGTAACATCTATCATCACACAGCCTGGCAGGTCTAGTCTATGAGGCAGAGGGGAGAGGAGACAGGAGGCAGAGTCAAGGACTGTCACATGGGATGGGGAAAAAAAACTTGTCACAATTATTTATGACTCTTGCTGGGGCACATAATGGGACACATAAGCCTGTTTCAGTTTCAAGCACCCTTGCACGGCTGCTCCCTTGTTGAAGTTGGACGCAGGCAGCTCTGCTTTACACATACAATTTCCTGAACAATGCCAAGCACTTGGGAAGTGACAGTGACAAATACTGGAGTTGGTGGCTGCAGCTCTGTGGGCTGTTATGAGCGTGCGGGTGTCAGTAATCAGCAGCACTGCCATGGGAAGCCCCAGCGCCCCCACTCCCCGATTCCTTTCTTCCTGGTGAAAGACTTCCGTCCTCCTCATCGCTGTTAACTGCTGGGGACCTGTGTTTAGAGAACAGAAGAGGGTGCATTCCAGCCTGCATTTTATTATTCTAAGCCGTGTTTATCCTTCTCAAGGAGGCTTCTGTATTCATTTGTTCCTTCCCCTACCCATCCCTATACACACAGAGCAAGAAACCAATTCCAAGATTTCAAGTGTAAGCGTCCTTTAGTTTCACACCTGTTAAGTATCCAAGTTTCTGAGCAGTTGGTTCAATTAATGTTCTGCCTCCAGATGTATTCACAGAAGCAAGTGCTGGATTAGATGGTAGTTTTGTCCAGTTCTGTAACCTAAGTCCTGTTCCAAGGCCCTTTGTTTTTGGTAATCTCATAGGGGTCTAACCTTTGGCCCTTTGGAGGGTCTTAAACGAAACCCCATCAACATTCTGTCTACCCGACAGACCATGGCAAACGGAAGAACTGAACTTTGAAACATTTAAGATAATTAAAGGTAAAATGGAGGTCCCATCCAATAAGTGACTCTCGCATACTTTATGACTCTAGCCTGGCCCAACATTAACCTAGGTTCCCTCTCTGAGCCCTCAGGCACCTTGGCACACCTGCCCAGACCCTGCTGATAAAAAATGGCAAAGACCTTAATTAAAGCTAATAGGAGCAGAATGGCCTGTGCCCACCCTGGAACTCAAATCAGAAATTAATATGGGGAAGAAGACAATCTGTGAATAGAAGCACCCAGGAACATTGGAATTGCTCCAACTTTCTTTGCAGGATTGGCTAAATCCAAACTCAGCCACCTTCATTTAGAAATATCACAAGAGGCCAAGAAAGAGAAATACTTTTCACTGGGTTAGTCTCATCATGCATCAGAACCAAAGTGTTCATGATGCAGCTACTACCAGATAACACCGTACTGCTGACAGAAGTCTGCATACCGCTGTCTCAAACCTAAAAGGGTATCTATACTAATTTAAGGAACAAAGAAACTGATAGGGATCACCCAAGATTCACCATCTGCCCAGGAATCATTTCTCTTGTGCTGCATCCTTTCCTCTCTACTCCCTCCCCACCTCCATCATCTGGAGAATTGCAAAGTTGAACTCCATGGGCACCATTGTGCCTCTAATGTCTTGTTTGCCTGCAAAGTGATTTTTTTTTATTGATGTATAGTCGGTTTACAATGTTGTATTCGTTTCTGGTGTACAGCATAGTGATTCAGTTATATATACATATTTATATATGTTATTCCTTTTCATATTCTTTTTTATTATAGGCTATTACAAGTTATTGAATATAGTTCCCTGTGCTATACAGTAGGACTTTTGTTATTTATCTGTTTTATGTATAGCAGTTAGTATCTGCAAATTCCAAATTCCCACTGTATCCCACCACTCCCTTTCTTTCCCCACCCCTGGTAATTGTAAGTTCGTTTTCTATGTCTATGAGTCTGTTTCTGTTTTGTAGATATGTTCACTTGTGTCATTTTTTTTAGATTCCACGTGTAAGTGATATCATACGGTATTTCTCTTTCTGGCTTACTTTACTTAGTAAGTATGACAATCTCTAGATCCATCCATGTTGCTGCAAATGACATTATTTTATTCTTCTTTATGGCTGAGTAGTAATCCACTGTGTGTGTGTGTGTTTGTGTGTGTGTGTGTGTACACACGTATGACAACTACTTTATCTGATCATCTGTTGGTGGATATTTAGGTTGCTTCCATGTCTTGACTGTTGTAAATGGTGCTGCTATGAACATTGTGGTGCATGAATCTACAAAGTAATTTTTTAATGTGTTCACTTTGAATAACTTGAGGCAACCTAGAGTCCAGATCACTAAGGACTTCATCATTCCCCCTATTATACTCAGTCTTTCGCGCTTTGTAGGGTACCCTTTTGTCCTCTGAAGACAGTTCAGTTTACAACACCTCCTTCCCTTCCCTTCAGATTATTTTCCCATGGGGCTTTCATACATAGTATTAGGAGGTAACCTTTACCTTCCCTCTCTCGCTGCACACACACCTCTGACATTCCCAGGCAGGAGAGGGACAGCCTCTCCCCTCCCCAGGCAGGAGCACTACAGCATTAGCACTCCTCTCACCCCCTCCACTGCCTCCCCATCTGATTAGTGAGTTAGTGGTAGATGTGACACCTATAAGACCACATTCCCAGGCACAGAGTCACTGCACTGGAATTCCTAACAGGCTCCCTACTGGGAGCGCCACATATCCAACCCAAGCCACAAGCAATAAATGTCATTATGATGCAGTCTTCACTCAGAAACATACAGCTTCCAACCCCATTGTTTTTAGAAACACATGTGTTTAACAGATATTTATTGAGCACTCATAGGCCAGGGATGGTGACAAGAATGACATAATTTCTGCTTTCATGGCATTTTCTCCATGATGAGTCTTTAGTTACAGAAGTGAAATGACATGGTCAAGCAAGTATAGGATGTAACAGTAAATGTGTTTAACACAGAGACCTGACCCATTTTGGGGGGGTAAGAGATGGTCTTTCTTGGGAAATGACAGTAAAGCTAGATCTCTGAGGGATAAGTAGGAGTTATTCAGGTTGGTGACTTGAGTGAATTACTTAATATCTCTGCAGAAGATTAAATGAGCTCACATAGGTAGAAAAGCACAATGTAGACTACAAAAGGGTTAGTTGGTGACATTGCGGAAAGGAGAAAAGTGACAGTTTAGCCTAAGGGCTATGGAGTCAGACAGTTCAAGTTCTGACTCTGCCACTCACTCCCAATAGGGATTCGGCCATTTCTTAACCTCTCTCAGTCTCGGTTCCTTTGCCATTTAAATCAAGATAATAATACCTGATTGATCAAACAGGATTATGCATGTAAACCCCTCTAGAAAAGTCCCTAGCACATACATAAAAGTGATCAGTGAATGTAAGCTTGCTTTTTGTTGTCATGTGTCTGGCATCCAGAAAAATGGAAGGTGAGGGATAAAATGCAATTAAGAGCCATCAAGAGAGAACCATCCAGAATTTCAGAGTAATGTGGACAATCACATCTATTTGAGCAGCCCCGTATGGCTCTAGTTAGCACTTCCATATTCATGATCTCATTCGGTCCTGCAATAAACTCTTTAAGCAAGAAGGACAGGTGCCTCTGTCTTCATCTAATAAGTGAGAAACCATAAAGCCAAAAGTGGCCTATTCAGCATCTTCCAAATGCCAGGACAGGTCTGGAATGTGGGTATTCTAATTCCTAAGGCATGCTCTTCAACAACAACACACTCAACTCTTCAGGACAGTGTTGACTCCAGGGCTCGCAGACCCTTTTGGGGTAGGAGTTGGGTTGCTTTATCTGCACCCAGGGTCAGCAAACTATGGCCCAAGGGCCAAATCCAATCCTCTGCCTTTTGTTGTAATAAAATTTTATTGGAACACAGGCATGCTCATTTGTGTATTATCTGTGGCTACCTTCACTTACAATGGCAGAGTTAAGTGGTCATAACAGAGACCATATGGGCAACAAAACCGAAAATATTTACTATCTGTCCCTTTACAGAAAAAGCTTGCCAATCCTGATCTATACCACTTATAATAAGACAGCTCCAGAATATGTGTTGCCAAAATCAGGGTGGAACGGCGTGCTTAGTATGAGGTGACAGTGTAACAATTCATCAAATCAGGTTAGTTACCAAAGACAAGGTTTTCTGCTAGTTTTAAATACCTCTACTACTTAAAAGGGTCTTGTAGCTGGTTTTTTATGGTATCAAGAAATTATTCTTAATTTATGGTTATATTTTTTCCAAAGGCTTACTCTGTGAAGATCTATATTGAATAATTTACAATGAAAATAGACAATGCCTGGGATTTGCTTTAAAATGTACCCCAAAAAAAAAAAAGCAGGTGAGGTTGGGGATTAGTGAGGCAGAGATGAAATACAAGAGGCAAAGTGTCGATAATTGTTGAAGCTGGGTGATGAGGTACAAAGGGAATCATTATACTTTTCTCCTCACTTCAGTATGTGTTTAATAATTTCCATAATAAAAAGTTATATTTAAACAGGGAATTTCAAAAGGCTAGATTAACTCTTTTTTTCCTTTAAATCTCATCTGACTGTAACAGTGCATATTTTAATGTTGCAGAGTAATGTTTATTACCTGAAGATATGCCCAAATAATCAACCATGTGATGTGCCGTCTCAGGAAAGAGAGCTCTAGTGCAGGTTTTGCAAAAAGCCCATTGTTTGTCCTTGATCTACAGTGTTCTCTCCTCTCACCCCCCAACCTGCTCTCTGCAATTACGTTTGTACATTTTTTAACATGATATTAAATATTTAAAGAGTCACTTAGGGAACTAAAGTTCACTGCGGTTTGATGTCTTATAACCACAAAATAGCGTTGTTCTAACTGATCCTTCTCATCAGTGGAGACCAGAGAACTTCGGTGTATGTGGTTAAGATGTAATTCTATCCCAGTCAGGCTGTTCAGGTGAAAGTGCGTTGGACTTGTGAGACAGTCCAGCAGAGTAAAATTAAAGGAGACACAGATTTTTATACGTTAAGTATTAGGGTCTGTACATTTATATTCTATTAATTTTGAGGATTAGTGCAAAGAACACTATCCTATGCCTGACATTTTGACCCTCTTTGTCAATGTAGGAAATCCTACAATAATACAGATTAGTCTAAGGAAACTGAGTATGGTTAAAATCTTCAAATCATCATCATTTTCATCATAATCTTCATCATCTCCATCATCCTCACCTTCTTCATCAACATCATCTCCTTCATCATTTATACAGAATTAGCAATTTGCCAATCATGCATAATTTCTTTTATTCCTAACAACAACTCCATAAGGTAGATAAACTAGAGTTGCGTCATATGTGAATTCAATCATGTCAAATGAGCAAAACCAAGAACAACCAAAAAAAGAGCAAGAGCAAGAAATAAAAATAGCAATCTAATGGCATATCTAATATACTATAAAGTTGTATTTCGCATATGTGCTCTCTGTTTTATAGAGTGCACTTTATTATATGCATTACTATACATTTACAAACACCTGTGCTGTGTAATTGTATACATAAAACCACGGCTCTCTATTTTATGGGTGATGTAAGGGTTCTTCCATGACAACATTAACTACATCCAATTCACACCTTATGAGTTAATTTAAAATCTGAACTCTAAGTAAGCTGTGACTTCACTGTTTTATGACACCTATTGTATAGATAAGGAGAGTGGGGTTTAAAGAGCTAAATATTTCATGTGAATACTTAGACACAATAATGGACAAATTGTGAGGTGGTCCTAAACCTATCTGAGAGCAAAGCTATGGTGTCAACCAGTATAATATACTGTCTTCTGAGAGCAGTTCATACTGATAAAGTAAAGAGAGAGAGAAAGTAGGACTTGAATGCCTTGTTTTTAGTTTGTTTTCAATTGGCAAACAATAGGATAGGAGTGAGGCAGAATCAGCCAAGCAAAAATAGAAATAGTGGCATTTCATAGGTGATGCATCTCAATTTGTTTTTCCACACTGTGTTGGCAGAGATATTCGTGATGAGGCAATTCCTCCGAAGAGGAGTTCTGAACCTCTAATCAGTAGCAAAGCAGAATTGATTAAAACAATAGTCAAGTAGCTCTCCTAAACCATCTTCAACCCCTGCCCAGAAGCCATCCTCACTGTTTTTCCAATTTCTGGGTTGCCATCCACTTGTCTTCCTGTGTGGCAGAACAGAAAATTGTCAGGTGAACCAGGTGGAAAGTGGAGACAATAACACCTAGTCAACAGAACAGGACAGTCTGCCTAGAATTTTGATATTCCTTAAAAAAAGAAAACATGCCCAGGCTGCACTTGATGTAGAATGTAGAGCTTTCCTGAGGTCTGTGATCTGCTAGTATCTTAAACCTGGACGAAGCATTTGCTGAATTGATATTTCCAGAATTGGACAAATAGGAAAGCTGCCTGCAGAAAGACTTTTGGCTGCATCAATGAAAGGGAAAGTTTTAGAAGGGAACACGTTGTAGGTTTGGCAGTAGATACGCTGAGATCCTTAAATAGAGCTTGGATCGTGTCTTTCCCAAACAATCTTCTCTGGGTGTTAGTGTTTTCAAAAACAGTTCAGGTTTTCATGCCTTCTCAAAGCTCCAGTGAAGCCTCCAAGTCCCTGATAGCATCTCTGAAATATCCCAAATATAAGGATATGTTTGAATTATTCACTCTCTTCTTGCCCCAATATCAATACCATTTTTATGTAGGAAAAAAAAAAGAGTTCAAGTAAATAAAAATACATAATGTAAGGAAAGAAGTAAAATTTGCCATTAAGGAAAGGGAAAGACAGATAAGGCTTCAAGGTTCAAAGGACACAAAACACTTAACACTTTTATGTATTCGTTGAACATATACTTCCTTAGTGTCTACCACACGGAGAAGAACTATGCCTGTGATGCACGATATAGACTGAAATAGCTTCTTGAATGTTTTTAACTTCCTTAAATTCATCTACAAGTACTCAGAACAAAAGACAGATTGTGAGAGTGAGGACAATTTAGATAGTGTGGAATATTCCACCAGTGTGTTCCCAAATGAGTAAATGCCCAGAAGTATGAGAAAGGAGAAGAATCTGCTGTTTATTTGGGGAAAGAGGGTTGCTGTGTTTCTCTTGGTATGAGCAATCCTACTACATTCCATTGATTAAAGATACATATCTGTGGCTCAAATAATGAAACAGCAGTTGGTTTCAATGCCAGAGGTAAAACTGTGCTGGACTTACTGAAGCTTGATAGAAGTCTGAAATATGTGGGAGATATGAGGAATTTTTAATTGTCACTAGAAACAATTTAAGTCTTACTATCAGCAACTTTTACCTTACAGATTAACGTTAGTAACATATACCTAAGAGTTGATTTTACTGTATGGTAACAAATCTTTTCGGCCTCATAAAATTGGATGAAATAACAATGTAAAAATTAAATAGTTGAATCTATTTACAGCTTTGTTGAGGGCTGTGAAAGAAAGAGTACTGTGCATATTTTTCCTAAATGTCCACTGAAAGAACCAAGAAGCAAAGATTCCTTCATGGCAATGAGCACACTTAGTGCCCAATGTTGGCTTCTCAGTGCCATTTGCCAGTTTGAAAAAAAAAAAAGAAAGCATGACCCCTTGGAGAAATGGCGGATTGCAGAGCTGTGGCAGGTAAAGTAAAAGATGATCCCAGCTTAATGTAGGAGGCATGTCAAAAAGACACAAGAGCTATCTTTAAGGGATTCCATGTGCCCAATCTGAAACAATTTGAGCATCAAAATAAATAATATTAACAGACAAAAAAATCTGTTGAATGACATAGAAAATCATGAGTCCACAGTGATAAAAAAAAATGCATATGTTGAAATTTTGAGGAAGAATGAAATCGTGTTAAGCAGAATAATGATCCCAAAGATATCCATGTCCTAATCCAGGAACCTATGAGTATGTTGTGCTGTTTAGCAATGGGGAATTTAAGTCTCAAATGGAATGAAGGTTGCTAAGCAGCTGGTTTTAAAATAGGGATGTTATCCTGGATTCCCTGCTAGGGCCCAGTGTAATCACAAAGTTACTTAACGTGGAAAAGGGAGGCAGAATAGTCAGTGTCAGAGTGATAGAGTATGAAAAACACTTGACTGGCCATTGCTGACTTTGAATATTGAAGTGGCCGCAAGCCAAGAAATGTGAGCAGCCTCTAGAAACTAGAAAAGGCAAGAAAAACAGATTCTCCCCTGGAGCCTGCAGAAACTCTGCCTGCCAACACCTTGATTTTATCCCAGTGAGATCCATTTCAGAGTCCGACCTATAGAACAGGAAGACAATAAATCCCTGTTGTTTGAAGCCACTAAACGTGATAATTTGTTATACCAGGGGTAGAAAATTAATAGAGAATATTTATGAGTTTCAAAGTACCTCTCTATAAGATACCTGTTCATTACAAAAGGGAAAATAGGAAGATGATGGTGGAGAAACCTAGCAGATACGACTTAAACTGAGTGATCAAAGTTATCACCAGTGGTAAGACATATTAACATCACATACCTTCTGAAATGATGCACTTAGAAAGACACAGCAGCACTTCTGTGGAAATCCCCCCAGAACGCACAACACGCATCTAATCAAGGGAAACCTTCAGACAAACCCAAATTGAGGGGCATTCTTCAGAACAACTGTCCAGTAGTCTTCAACGATATTAAGATCATGAAAGACAAAAAAAAGAAAGAAAGAAAAGAAAAACACTAAAAAAACTGACCCAGATTGGAGGAGTCTAAGGAGACAGTACAACTAAATGCAATGTGACAGCTTGGATTGTATCTTGAACCAGAAAAGGAGCATTACTAGGACAGTTTGGAATTTCTAACAAGATCTGTAGGTTAGTACTGAATCCATTTTAATTTTTTGTTTAGATCATTATACTATGTTTATGTAAGATGTTAACATTTGGAGAATCTGGGTGGAGATATACCCTGGGAAATCTGTGTGCTACTTTTGCAATATTTTAAGTCAAATTATTTCTAAATAAAAACCTTTAAAAAAAAGGGGGGGGAAATGTGATAATGATCTTATGCTAAGAAGGTCTGGTAAGACCTGTTTTCAAACTCCCTTTCAAAGAGCCCATTTGTTTCTTTCTTTGGAGAAGTCACTTCATTGAGTGTCTGTATGTCCATGTGCTTTTCAGTCTTGGTGATTCCTTCCAGCAGGTCACCCAGAACTAAGCAAAGGCTTCACGGGTATTAGGATAAAAAGCAAATATTTCTAACATTAGTCTTGGTTCTAGAGGGGTTTCCCCTAAAGAACAACTAACCAAGGTAAAAAATTATTCCCCTACTTCTGCATCAATAGGCCATTCTTCTAAGCCATTCTTCATGTAAATTCTGAAGACTCAGATGTCATCATGTTACTTTCTTGGTTAAAAGCTTCTTGATGGCTCCACATGACCCATCTCTGGCTGCCGCTCATCTCATCCACTGTCCATGTCTTCATGCACTAAGTCCCAACACGCTAAACTTTATTTTATCCCTTCAGTGAACCAAGTTCTTTCTAACCTTGCTACCTTTACATATACATTTCTTCTGCCTTGAATGTTACTTCGTCTTCTTCTGACCTAACTAAATAAATTGCTTAAGAGCAGACGGCTAATAAATGACAAAGTCAGGATTCCAATGCCTTGTTAATAAATCGCAGTGTTTCCAAAGAATAGAATATTAGTTAGCATTAAAAAGAATGAGGTAGAGCTTCAAAAAATATATATACAACATCCATACAGAATTAAAACCTTTTTATTTTTCACATACTAATTATATATTTCCCTAATATATACCCTGAAATAAAACATTCTGGAAAGGTATATTGAAGAGTATTAACAATAACTGGGGGTAAGTCAAATTTTAACTTGAGAAAAATGCCTTGTAAACTTTGAGCTCATTTTGCCATTGGATTGGACCCATCATCACCAGAAACGGCAGGCACGAATTAGCCATGGGTTTCACATAGTTATTTTCTAGTGTTGCTGCTGCTGCTGATTTTGTTTTGTGGTGCCTCTCACACTTCTAAGTTTTCGAATCAGTGAGGCATCAAATCCATCAACACATCCTACTGAGGGACAACCCAAGAATACGGCAAGAACACTTCAGAGAAGCTCATTACCGGGTAGAATGGATGCGACCCAGTTGGGGGGGGGGTGGTGTCAGACTCAGCTGAATCTGGGATCCCAGAGCCACCCTCAGTGTCGATTTCTGTCCTCCTGTGATGGTGAGCTCTTCCTCACCAAGCCTTTGCAGTGATTTTTCCCTCTGACCAGAGTACCTATATATCTATTTAACATCTATATCTTTGTATAGTTGCCTCTTTCTCATCCTTTAGCTTTCTGGTGAAATAACGCTCTTTAAAAGACATAGTACACACAGGGAAATAGATACAAGATCTTATGGTAGCTCACAGAGAAAACAATATAACAATGAATATATATATGTTCGTGTATACTGAAAAATTGTGCTCTACACTGGAATTTGACACAACATTGTAAAATGTTTATAAATCAATAAAAAATGTTAAAAAAAAAAAGACATAGTGCACAACAATTCACATTCACTTCCTCTAGTTAAATCAAGAATAGTAGTTGGGCTGTACACCAGAAATTGACACACTGTAACTGACTATACTTCAATAAAAAATTTTTTTAGAAGAATAGTGGTTGGGTAGCCCTCTGTTACACATGCATTCAACTTTAACCCAAACGAAAGTTTAATCTCCCAAAAGGTAACTACTTAGCATACTTCATCTAGATAGGACTCTTGGACTTTATGCCAGAAATCAGTCAAGGCTGTGTCTGTCTGCTAAGAAGGAATAGCAGTAGAGAACATAGCTCACCAAATATAAGCCTTTTTTTTTCTTCCCCAAACCAAAACTACACCTTGGGATGGGGAGGAAAATGAGGAAGAGCCTCTCATTTTACAGGGCACATTTTCAGAGGCTTACACTGCTTTCTTGCCCAAAATAAAGTAGCTCTCCAGAATAGTCTCCACCTGCTTCTGCCCAGAAACTTTCTATCGGGTCATTGTGTTTCCTTCGCAGCATTTCTGACTGTCTGAAATTATCTTGTTTATGTATTTTGTTTTGGGGCTTGCGGGGGAGGTTTTCTGACTGTTCAGTAAATATGTGTTGGAAGGGAGAGAAGGAAAAAAGAAAGGAAGAGAAGGGGAGGGAAGGGAAGAGAAAGAGAAGGGAGAGAGAGAATATCAGCGTTGTGTAGGTTCCAACTAATAGCTAATTAAATTTAACAGACTCCAGGTAAGAGAGGAGTTACAGTGCAAATTGCCCTTCTGTTTACATCTAGTTTAAATTCTTCTTCTCTTGCATTTTCATTTCATTATTTTTTAATTAAAGTATAGTTGATTTATAATAGTGTGTCATTATTTATCTGCATTATTTTATGTACCAAAAAAAAAATAGCTCTTCCACCTGGGAACCTTTAACAACTACTCCAATAGTGTTCCAAATTGTTTTAGCCATAGATTCCTGTCTTCACACACACAAAAAATTGCAGAAATCCAATAAATATGACAGATGACCCACAGCTGTTTTGGATGAAGCCTGGGGTGAACGGCTGGTGAGCATGGCTGGCCTGGACATCCAACCACACAGCAGTCCTCATGACCCTGAATCCCCACTGGACCCAGACCTACCACTTGCATCCTGAGAAACAATTTGGAAATCACTGAAATAAGGAAATTTAGAACTTTACTCTCAAAATGCGAAAGAGTTTTAATTAAACTTGCTGTATCAGCAGGTTCACGTTAGCCTTCCATTTTACTCCAAGTGATTACAATTTGATTATGAGCCCACTCAATCCAATGGCTATGCTGTGCTTTTTTTTTTTATAATTAGAGAACAGAAGGCCTCAACACCAACAATATTCATCTTAGCCATCAGTTTTGTGCAATCTTTCTAGGCAGCACCCTGATACTACTGAAGTACTGACTTTTTCTTTTAACTTTTATACAAATTGCATGTATAATAATCCATGATATGCTTTAGCATTCGTTGTTCTTCAGTTTGAGGAGACGCTGATTTAAAACATAATTTAACAGATTATTCAGTCAAGCATAATAAGGGCAAAATTCTTCCTCCCATAAAATTTTCAGAGACATTTGGATAAAGACAGCAATAGTTTAGTGAAATTTGTTGAAAAACCTCTAGCTCCCATTACTGTTTTTTTCTTCCCCGGATATACTCTTGTAAAGGATAAATGCCTAAGTACGGGGACTGTCCATTAAAAAAGCATCTATCTAATGCAGTCTTTGACAAACTTTTCTGGAGCTGCAGTTACTACCTCAAAACCCACAACATGAATTTTTTAAAACAAATCTGATGCTATTAAAAAGGGGTGGATTGACAGCCCTGGCGGCTGAAGTCTTCTGTTTAACCACAGTTCGGGCGAGGCACAGACAGAGGCAATGAAAATCTCCCCTGCTTTCCCACCACTGCTCCTTAAACTTAGAGAGGAGGCACCTGTAAGGAGGAATGGGGCCCTGTGGTTCATGCTTGTATTTAATCGTGGTCATTTCCCAGGCTGGCTTCATGACGGTGTAAGTTCTCACCCGTGTGAAGGAAAGACCATCATTTTTCTCACAGTGCCTCCCATTCGTTGACCAGATCAAAACCAATTGTTCAGAGACCTGAGCCAATTCAGTGTCCTCTTGCCAAACACAAAGGAAGAACCCAGAATGGATGAGGACACGATGCATTCACCTCAGTTGCCCCACTTCCCAAGGAAGATAATTCTAGGACTGAACCTTCACAGTGACAGCGGAGCTTTGAACTTTCTAGCTGAAATAGCTGTTTATATTCCCAAGGACTTTAGATGACCAAATCATGTAATAAAATCTCAAACTTACCAGTCATCGGAGCTCAAACCCTTGCACAGAGGTTCCTCCATCTCAACATTTTAGCACTATTGACACTTGGGGGCTGGACAGTTCCTCACCGGGGTGGGGGAGGCTGTCCTGTGTATCACAGGATGCTTAGCAGCATCTCTGCCCACACAAAGCCCGAGCCCCTGCCCAGTTGTGACAACCTCAAGTGTCTCCAGACACTGTCATATGTCCCCCAGTGGCTGAAATCACCCCAGTTAAACTGCTGTTCTGTATGTCCCAGGACCAGTTCCATCCCTTCAACCCCAAGGTTGTCACATTTGTGCAAATGTCTTATTTCTTTTTACATTCCTCTCTCCTTTTAACCTCTGCCCTAGAAGGATAGTTCCAAACACATCATTTGACAGGCATGTTATTATATACATAGCTCAGCCGGGCAAAATCTGGCCAAGAGCCGCGGACTCTGTTGTCTTCTGCCCTTTGTCAGGACTTTCTTCCTGTTTTACAGTTGGCTGAATTATACTCAAGCTCCCAGGCAGAGCGGCTGGAGCAGATCTGATGAAAACCACATTGTTTGGTTCACAGAATGTGATTTACACCCCCTAGATACTGGATTTTAATTTGTTATATGTGTCTATTAAACTCTGCCTTCCTCCTCCCCTTTCTTAGGATGAAAAGCAGATTATTTAGTGCACAATCTAAAAATCAGCCGGTTATTAAATTTTCCTTTTCGTTTAGTTTTGAAGCTTTTATGCCTCTGAAACTTATTTACATGCTGTATATATTAAATAAAGTGTAATCCATAGTAC